ATATATTTGGGATACTAAGCTCTTATCAGATATAATTGGCAAATATCTTCTCCCATTTAGTAGGTTGTCTTTTTGTTTCATTGAGTGTTTCCTTTGCTGTGCAGAAGCTTTTTATTTTGATGTAGTTTCAATAGTTTATTTTTGCTTTTCTTTCCTTTGTCTCAGGGACATATCTAGAAAAAAGTTGCTATGGCCAATGTCAGAGAAATTACTGCCTGTGCTCTCTTCTAGGATTTTTATGGTTTCCTGTCTTACATTTATATCTTTAATCCTTTCTGAGTTTATTTTTGTGTATGGTACAAGAAAGTGGTCCAGTTTCATTGTTTTGCATGTAGCTGTCCAGCTATTCCCAACACCATTTGTTGAAGAGACTATCTTTTTCCCATTTCATATTCTTGCCTCTTTTGTCAAAGATTAAGTGACCATATAATTGTGGGTTTATTTCTGGGCTCTTTATTCTGTTCCATTGATCTATGTGTCTATTTTTGTACCAGTACTATATATACTGTTTTATTACAGCCTTGTAGTATATCTTGAAATCTGGGATTGTGATACCTCCACTTTTGTTCTTCTTTTTCAAGATTGCTTTGGTTATTCAGGGTCTTTAGTGGTTTCATACAAGTTTTAGGATTATTTGTTCTAGCTTGGTGAAAAATGCTGTTGGTATTTTGAGAAGGATTGCATTAAATCTGTAGATTGCTTTTGGTAGTATGAACATTTTAACATTTGTTCTCCCAATCTATAAGCATGGAATATCTTCGCATTTATTTGTGTGGTCTCCAGTTTCTTTCATCAACATTTTATAGTTTTCAGCGTATAGGTGTTTCACCCAGGAGAGTGATTTTTGAGTAGACCATAGAATAGCCTAAAACTCTTTTAAAATTGTAATAATTTTACAGTCTCCTGTTATTTTCAACTCACAGTAATAATAAGCAGTTCAGTACTTACAGTGACTGAATTATTCCATCTGAACTTTTATGTCACTCCATAAAAGACAGTATAGGTCACTGGTAATAGAGACTGGGAGAGAGAGTCTTCACAGTGGCTCTAACACCAGAAGTAGGTGGTCCCATTTGGGACATATGGCAAGTAGAGCTCTTTAAGCACGCTGATAGACTTGATGTAATATGTAAGGGGAAAAGAAGAATCAAGGATGGACTATGGAAATGGGTGGAACCATTTATTTATATGTGACAGTCTCTGTATTGTTGGTGTAAAGAAACATACCTTTGAGAGATAAAGGGGGCAGTATAATTATAATTACACTGAAACAATAGAAGTAAGTAGCTCTTCGGTGCAAACATGATTTTCCAGAAATTATTCTCCTTGAAGAGGTCAGAATGAAATAGAGTTCAGAAACCCAAGGGAAAATGCTAAGGGGTTTTGTTGAAGGTGGTGTAGGGTCATGTTCAGGGGGATGGACTCTGGAGCCAGATAACACAAATTAGAAACCCACTATTGTCATTACTTGCCATGTGGTTTTTTTCTCAGGCTATTGGTAACCAGCGTCGTACCTGGACCTGCCCTTATAGTTATTATGATTTCAAGATAACCTCAGTGATAATCAGGAAACTTTGAAAAAAACAAGTTTTATTACTCTCAGGTCCTGGAAAGCATATTGCACACCTGGGGCCACACAGTGAGGTCACAGGTAGAGAGAAAGCATGGGAGAGCATGGGCTTGGTGTTCTGTTTTTATTGAGGTTGAGGGAAGGGTCCTTGGGTTTCACAGGTTGATTCTATGGGTGGACTTAAAACATAAGAGCAGGAGTTTAAAGTGTGGGAAGAGAAAAACAAATAGTCCGTTAATATAAATCAACCAAGATTTCTGAAACAAATGAGCAGGGGGGCAGTGGCATAGGAGGTTGGAAGGTTCTGGCTCTTTACTAGTCAGTGTGGCTGGCAATGTATTTATTGAGATAGCCTTTTGATGCGGAACCCAAAATCAACCTCCAAAATCAAAGCTAAGTCAAGTACTTGGTCTACAAAAAGTAAAACCAACTGTAGGACTTACACTATAGTGATCTTTGACAATGATCCAACTACTCTGCCTCAGTTATCCATCTGTAAAGAAGAGAGAAACAGTACCTATAATTTAGGATTGTCAAAAGGATTTTATGAATAAAATCTATGTAAAGCACTCATAATAATAGACCAGCTTATGAGTACCATATGTGTGTATACTATTATTATTATTATTACTATCAATAGCCTACAGATGAAGAAATAATGAGAGAAAAGAACAAAGAGTTGGTGGTTAAAGGTTTGGATATCTGTATGTACCTAAAGGCTATTGATGAAATGAGAGTAAGGCCAGTAATTAATCTGCCTCATTTTTTTTATTGACTGAACAGCAGTTCATAATATGTGTGTATTGTTTTGGTTGAGATTTCCTTCAAAATACTGAATAAAAGACAACCCCAAACCTCAGTGGCTTATAACAACAGACATTTATTTCTCAGTCAAAAGTCTGCAGGTGAGGGGCACCTGAGTGGCTTAGTCGTTAAGCGTCTGCCTTCAGCGCAGGTCATGATCCCAGGGTCCTGGGATAGGGCCCTGTGTCAGGCTCCCTGCTCAGTAGGAAGCCTGCTTCTCCCTCTCCCACTCCCCCTGCTGTGTTCCTGCTCTCGCTCTCTCTCTATCAAATAAATAAAATCTTATTAAAAATAAAATAAAATAAAATAAAATAAAGCATACCATTCAACATTTCTGGATGACAACTCAGCCTTAGCTTTTAAAAAAAAAAAGTCTGCAGGTTGAAAGAGGGAACTGTGTTTCAGACCCTGGGTCAAGTTCAGGTCTGGTCTATGTGTTTCTCATTCTGAGATTCAAGCTAAGGGGCCTTAGCTACATGAGATGAGCTTTTCTTCTCGTGGTGAAGGCCAGAGCTCAAGAGGGTAAACCAAATGATCTGAACCCATTCAAATCTTTTTATTGGAAACAGCATTTGTTATGCCTGTTAATAAACTGCTAGCTAAAGCCAGCCCAAAGTCAATGGGATGGAGATGTGTATTCTGCCCCAGCAAAGCCATGGCAAAGACAGGAAAGTAAGGAAGAACTGTGAACAGATAACACTATCTATCTAACTACAAAACAAAATGAACCAGAATTCCATTAGCATGCATGAAGATGATTTCTAATTTTTCACTATCCTAGACAAAAGTGTATTGAACATAAAATATATGAGTGTATTTACACATATATATATAATATTCATTCCTTACATATATTAATTCTATGAGATAAACTCCTAGAAGTGGAAGTGTATCATCTAAATACAAAATTATTTCATAGCATTTCCCAGTTGCTCTTCAATTATTAATATATTAATTTACTCTCCTGTCAATTTCTTTACCTTAAGAAAGTTCTTTCAGTGGGGGCATTTGGGGCTAGTTAGAAGAGGCTACAATGCTAACAGCTGAGGCAAATCATTTGGTAAAGTAGGTTCAGCCATGGAACTGACGCCTAAAGACAGAAAGGAGGAAGGTGGACCAAGGAGGCAGGAAAGAAAATAAGGGGAAACAGTGGAATCCAAAAGAAGAATATTGGGTATATAAGATACTTTCTGGAAAATGTGAAGAACCAGAGTTAAGTAACCAAAAGTTGGTTTCATTGCCTTGTTATTATCATTTTATAAATGTTAGGCCCCCTTTATCTTGGAAGAATTTATTATCCTGATGCAGCCAAAAACTTAAGGAGTGTAGCTCCTCAAACCAGTTTTGATGGTGACCAAGGCTTACATAAAGGTCTCAAGAAACCCTTCTTCTAGCTCATTACACAGATTTGCCACAGTTTTAGCTTCTTCTCAGTTCAGTGGCATTAACTGCTTATATCCTATAAAAGAAACTTTCTACTGTCAAATGGCCTATAAATCAGCCTGCACTTGCAACTTCTGCCCCATGTCCAGGGAGGTCCTTCTCACCTTTTCCTTTTGAAAAGGAAACTGGAAACACCCATGAAACTAAAGAATTGACATTTTAGTAGACATTTTGGCTCTTGGACCTATTTCTCATTTCCAGAACTGATCGATCAGCAGGCAAATACCCAGTGAAATAGTCAGGTTCCAAATATCAGCTACAGAGAAGATTAGGAGCATGCCGAGATAAAAGGAGTTAAGTTATCCTTGAATGGTGCAGCTAATGAAGGTTAAGAAAATGCAAGTTGGAGAGCCCTTTACATTATTTCACTGATACTGACTACTAAATTAACTCATACAAGTACAATAGATGCACAAGAATGACAGTGCTTAATTCTGCAACATCTGTGACTTCTGACCCTATACAGTAAACACTTGTCATCATGTCCCTCTTCCCATACTGGAGTAGTTCCACCATTTCATTTGTCTTGGTGGGAGGCAGAACCTCTCTCCCACTTAGAGAAAATAAAAGCAGCAGTATTGCTTGCTCAGTTTCCCTGGGAACTAGAGCAGGGACATGTGACCAAGTCTTGGCCAGCCGCATGGATCACCTTATTTTGATCTAGATGTATTGGTGTAAAGAACAAGAAGTGGGCAATTTTTTTTCTGGAGGTGGTCACATCTAGTTTTCAGGCCTCTGGGGGCTATGCGCAGTGACTATTGCTGATAGTATTGGTGGCGGTATAAGTGAAAAGAGTTTAGTGTCTACAGCAGTGACCTCATCAGACAATTCTGAGATATGATTTTGACTGTGGTTCTGACTATATGACCTTTCTTAGTCTTGTCCATTTTATTGAGCCTGGTTGCTTAGCCTTTGTGGAAATTCAGGAGTTCCACATACACTTTCAATAAACTTATTTCCCTCTATGAATCAACGAGAATTATTTTCTGTTGCCTATATCTAAGTATGTTACAACCCTGTTGTTTAATGGCAGGCCCAGAGTACACTCAATTATAATTAAAGTCATGCTAGTGGTTTGCGCTAAATACATGGTCTCATGTGCTTTGGTTTAAGGGATAGGTCAGGACAATATTCAATGGGAAAATCCATAATATGTAACTAATTTAGGTATTTCTGGGAAGTTCTAAAGGAAACAGATGTGTAAGGGACAAAACTGTTTCCCCAGAATCACTGGGAAAACTAGGAACTGTGTTTTGGGGTTTTGTCTAAAGAAAGAAGTCCATATTCTGCTCACCCATTTTCTGCAGGCTCCCTTGACATCCCCATTCCTCAGGCTATAAATGAAGGGATTCAACATGGGGGTTACCACCGTGTACATGACTGTCAGGATGCGACCCTCAGTCACTGAATAGCTGGTAAGGGGCCTGAAGTAGACCCATGAGAGTGTGCCATAGAAGATAGCCACCACAGTGAGGTGGGAGCCACAGGTAGAAAAGGCTCTCCACTTGCTCTTGGCTGAGGGGCTCTGGAGGACCACTGAGATGATGTGGGCACAGGAGGTAATGATGAAGGCCAGAGCACCATTGATGACAATAACACCCTCTCTGTGAATCATCAGGGTGTTGAGGTAGGGGCTGGAGCAGGAAATCTTCATCAGAGGGTAGAGGTCACAGAAGAAATGCGGGATCTTGTTATCTGCACAGAAGATCAATCGGCCCATGAGAAAGGTGTGCAGCAGGGCATGAAGATGGGAGAGGATATGGCACAGAGCCACCATCTGTGAACACAACGTTCTGGTCAGGATCATAGGGTAGCGGAAAGGGTAGCAGATGGCGATGTATCTGTCATAGGCCATCACAGCCAGAAGGAAGTTTTCCATGGCTGCAAAGCAAATGAAGAAATAAGTCTGGGCTAAGCATCCCATGTAGGAAATAGCCTTTGTAGGAGAGAAAATGTTCTGCAGCATCTTGGGGACTGTGGTAGAAGTGAAGCAGACATCTGCCAAAGCCAAGTTACTGAGGAAGATGTACATGGAGGTGTGGAGGCGTGGAGTATAGATAATCAGTGTGATGATGGCAAAGTTCCCAGAAATGTTGATTGCATACATCAGTAGAAAAAGAAGGAAGAGTGGAATCTGCTCTGGGTGGGTAGAAATGCCCAAGAGAACAAAATGGGATACACTGGTCCAGTTGGTATTGACCATCTGTTGCCATAAGAATAAACAGGATTATCACTTTTTATTGAGGTATATAATTGCCATATAACATTATATTAGTTTCAAGTGTACACCATAATGATTCGATATTTGTATATATTGCAAAATGATCGCCACATTAACTCTAGTTAACATCCATCCCCATACATAATTACAAATTTTTTTCTTGTGATGAAGACTTTTAAGATATACTCTCTTAGCAACTTTTAAATATGTGATGCAGTATTATTAAGTATATTCACCATGCTATACATTATATTCTCATGACTTATTTTATAACTGGAAGTTTGTACCTTTGAACTCCTTTCACCCATTTCACCACTCCCTGCCCTCTGCCTCTGGCAACCATCAATCTGTTCTCTGCATCTATGAGTTTGTTTTTGTTTTTGTTTTTTTTAAGAGAGAGAGAGAGAGAGTGTGCGTGAGCAGCAGGGTAGGGGCAAAGGGAGAGGGAGAGAGAAAGAATCTTAAGCAGGATTCACACCCAGCACAGAGCCCAATGTGGGGCTTGATCCCACGACCCTGAGATCATGACCTGAGCTGAAATCAAGAGTTGGATGCTTAATTGACTGAGCCACCCAGGCGCCCCAGAGCCTTTTTTCCCCTTTAAATTCCTCATATAAGTGAGATCATGTGGTATTTGTTTTTCTCTGATTTATTTCACTTAGCATAATGCCCTCAAGGTCCATTCGTGTTGTTGTAGATGGCAAGATTCCATTTTTTAAAATGGTTGGATGGTATTCCATTGTATATATATACTACATCTTCTTTATCCATTCATCCATAGTTGAACAGTTAGGTTGTTTCCATGTCGTGGCTATTGCAAATAATGCTGCAGTGAACATAAGTGAACATATATCTTTTTGAATTAGTGTTTTTGCTTTCTGTGAATAAATACCCAGAAGTGGAATTGCTGGATCATATGGTAGTTGTAGTTTTATTTTTTTTGAGGTAACTCCATTGGACATCTGAGCAGGCTGTTTGATTTCTATCACTTTTGTGCTCCGATATAAACTGCACACAGTGTTGATAATGGGATCAAGTACTTAATTATTTTCCAAAATAGTGAGGTATGGATTTTTCATTATCAACAGCATCATCACTATTACAAATTGTATAGATGCACCAGTATTACAAATTAGAAAACTAAGGCATGGAAAGCTTAACCTTTTTTTTTGCCCATGAAGGGCAAAATCTGATCTTAAAGTCATGCTTATCAGGTTCCAAAGTCTATGCTAGTGACACTATATAGCATGACTCCTCAAATAAAACCAAGGCACCTTATTCATGGTAATAAGACCTCTTGATGGGCTATATAACCAGGTAATCTGCCTACTAAAAGGGATTTCAGAGGTTATTTGGTCCAACAATTTCTGTTTTGGGGAGTGCATACTCCTGGTGGTACCCAAAGACTTCTCAAAGAGTATACAGACACATCTTGGGAGAAACCGTTTCCAGATTCTCAGCTTCTATATTTCTCTTTTCTGAAATCATTTTGTCTTCAAGATATTGTGAACCTTATGCATTATTCTGTCTTCTGCTTAGCAAATGAAAGACATACTTTCATCCAGGGGCACCTGGGTGGCTCAGTTGGTTAAGCAGCTGCCTTCAGCTCAGGTCATGATCCCAGGGTCCTGGGATCGAGCCCTGCATCGGACTCCCTGCTCGGCGGGGAGCCTGCTTCTCCCTCTCCCTCTGCCTGCCTCTCTGCCTACTTGTTTTCTCTCTCTCTATCTCTCTGTCAAATAAATAAATAAAATCTTAAAAAAAAAAAAAGACATACCTTCATCCATCCGAAATCTTACTAGATGTACTGGCTCAGGATAGAAAAACCTCAAAGGAGTCTAATGAATGGACAATCAGAACATGAATAAAATGGATGACTTTAATAACCAATAATAAGTCCTTTTTTAGATAAGGGGTTTCCAATCTTTTGTTCTCAAAAAAGCCTTGGTTTCCTTATCTCTAAAATGGGGGAATATTAATAACACATCACTCATGAAGTTGGTATGAGAATGAAATAAGAGTGCCTGGTCCATGGCAAGTGCTCAGTAAATGCTGGAAGTTATGCCTATCAGTTTTTCAGTCCTGTTCTACTCTTCTCCAGGTTTTTCTGGGAGTAAGTATTTCTGCTATCCAGGTCTCTCTACAGTGAATCTGCTCCGCATTGTCACTGTCTTAATCTGAAACAAATAATACATTATATGTTAAAAAAAAAAAGAAGAAGATAGTAGGAAGGGAAAAAATGAAGGGGGAGAAATCAGAGGGAGAGACGAACCATGAGAGACTATGGACTTTGAGAAACAAACTGAGGGTTCTAGAGGGGAGGGGGTGGGGGGATGGGTTAGCCTGGTGATGGGTAGTAAAGAGGGCACGTATTGAAGGGAGCACTGGGTGTTATACGCAAACAATGAATCATGGAACACTACATCAAAAACTAATGATGTAATGTATGGTGATTAACATAACATAATAAAAAAAAAAAGTAAAAAAAAATGTGGTTCCCAAGAACTAAGCAAAGTTCTGTGAGTCCGGTCTTTCGTCACAGGGTCATAATGATCTGGGCTGGTCATAAATCATAGCCTTTGGGGGAAATGAGAGTTGGCTGTGTCCATGGCTAACCCAAGATTTCTTTTTTTAAACGATTTTACTTATTTATTTGAAAAAGAGAGAGAGCACAAGCAGGGGGAGCAGCAGACAGAGGGGGAGGGAGAAGCAGGCTCACTGAGCAGGGAGCCCAATGAGGGGCTCAATCCCAGGACCCTGGGATCATGACCTGAGCTGAAGGCAGACGCTTAATGACTGAGCCACCCAGGTGCCCCTAACCCAAGATTTCTTAAACTTTACAATTAGATCATTGGGGAAAAAAGTGTGAACAATTAAGAACAGCCTCTCTGTAAGGCACTTGCACATGCATTATCTCATATAATCATCAGCAATCCTGAAGACACTTCCAGCAGCAACAGTCACTCACTATTCTCATATTCCAGATGAGGAACCAAAGCTTCGGGACGTGAAGTGATTTGCTCAGCATAACTCAATGGCAAGTGGTCTGGCTGGGCTTCACCTTACAGCTGGATACCTTGAGTTCTCTACATGGGCTACATCACACTGCCCATTTAGTTTACTTAGCTCTTTCCCCATGGAAATGGATTTATCCATCACTGCTGGGCTGTCTGCTTTTATATTTCAAACTAAAGGATGTCACCATGATACAACTCAAGAGAGTGAACGTGAGACTTTTCAATTACAAAGATCTGGAAATTTATAGTATGCTATTGAACTATTGATTTCAATGTGGTATGATAATGAATGAGATCTAAAAGTTGTAGCCACTCTTTTAATGAGCACTTTCTGTAAACCAGGAATTGTTCTAAGAGCTTTACCTATATGATTTTTATTTGGTGACCACAGAAATTATGTGACATAGGTATTATTATCTCTGTTTTATAGGTGAAGAAATTGAAGCTCAGAGGGGTTCTGTGACATGCTCAAAGTCACAGTTAGTAAGTAGTAGAACTAGAATTTGCATTCAGTTTCATTTAAGCCCAGAGTCTATGCTCTTTTTTTTTAAAAGATTTATTTATCTGGGGACGCCTGGGTGGCTCAGTTGGTTAAGCGACTGCCTTCAGCTCAGGTCACGATCCTGGAGTCCTGGGATTGAGTCCTGCATCGGGCTCCCTGCTGAGCAGGGAGTCTGCTTCTCCCTCTGACCCTCCCCTCTCTCATGTGTGCGCTCTCTCTGACTCATTCTCTCTCTCTCAAATAAATAAAACCTTAAAAAAAAGATTTATTTATTTGAGAGAGAGAGAGAGTGTGTGGGTGTGCAAGAGTGAGAGAGAATGGAGGGAGGGGCAGAGAGAGAGAATCTTTAAGCAGACTCCCCATTGAGCGCAGAGCCTGACATGGGGCTCAGTCTCATGACCCATGAGATCATGACCCTGAGCCAAAACCAAGAGTCACAGGGAAAGGGAGGGAAAACTGAATGGAAAGAAAGCAGAGAGGGAGACAAACCATGAGAGACTCTGGACTCCGGGAAATGAACTGAGGGTTACAGAAGGAGGGGGGTGGAGGGATGGGGTAGCCGGATGATGAGTACTAAGGAAGGCACGTGTTGTGATGAGCACTGAGTGTTATATACAACTAATGAATCATTGAACACTACGTCAGAAACTAATGACACATTATATGTTGGCTAACCAAACATAAAAGAACAAACAAACAAACCAAGAGCCAGATGCTCAACCGACTGAGCCACCCAGACGCTCCTCAATGTCTATGTTCTTAACCAGTGGACTATGCCATGCCTTGAGCATTCCCTAACTATTCCAGTTCCTGCTTTACTCTATGTTTCTTGTTTTCCACTGTGCTATCTTGTGCCTTTGGCCAGTGATATGTGTCTATCACGTTTTTTCCTACTTTAATTCTCATTATTGAATTAGAGAGTAGATATTATCATTCCCATTTTCAGATTATTAAATTGAGAATCAGAGGGATGGATTAACTTCCCCAGAGGGATGGATTAACTTCCCCGCAGAGCATAGGGTTGGATCATAGAGCTAACTCAGAAGTGATGCTCCTTCTGTCCCAGCTCATCCATTTAGCACCTAATGTTTTATTCTTGTCCTGTGCTTCCTTCCCCTTACTAGTCTGTCATTGTAATTGGAGCCTCCAAATCAGAGCAGGGGGCCCTGAGTTTATTTAGAAAACATGAGATGTCTCCCCTCAGTTCTTAGGGTAGTTGTAAAAAGTTCTAAGAAGGGAATGTGTTATGGTGAGCCCTGTGAATTGTTTAAGACTGACGAATCACAGACCTGTACCCCTGGAACAAATAATACATTATATGTTAATAAAAAAAAAAAGAAGTGAATGACCTCTACCAGATAGTTTGCAGGCTATGCCTGCTCCCTGGGGCAATACCCATCAAGCTTCTGTGACAAAGCTGCTCATAAGACTGGAGAAAGCCCCAGAAGTGGTTGGAGGGCGGGCTGCCTGGAACCTTGGAGTCC